TATTAGAGAGATATCCTAAGTTTTCAGCATAAATTTCTCGAGGAGCGAAAATTAACTCATTTGGGATGTCATTCTCAATGTAATGAGACCCGCAAGTTACTAATTCCCTCCCGTGAACGAGAAAAGCTGGAGTATAACCTGTTGTTTCGTTTATTGAAGTGTTGATTGCGAACTGAATTTTTGGCAGATTCAGATCCCAAGAACGATGGTCGTCGTTTACGAAGGAAGATACAGCTGTCATTATAGTCTTGTTGTACCTTTCCACAGTGTTGACTTGAGGGGTATACTTTGGTGTGAAGTTAACGTTTGGAATCTTGTACACTTTGAATAATTTGTCTAGCTCACGACTAGTGAATTGTATGCCATTATCAAGGATTACGGTTTGTGGGACACCATGAACAAGAAACACAAAGTCTTCCAAATGTTTGGTCACGAGTTCAGCAGTAGCTCGTCTCAATGGAAACAACAAACAATATTTGGAAAAGCAACAAGTAACAACAAATAAGTAGCTGTGTTGTTTCCTGGAAGGTGGTAAGGGTCCAACCAAATCAATCGAGATCGATTGAAATGGTCGGCAGCACTCCTTGGGTCTGCCCATTTTACCAAGTGTGCCTTGTGTAGATAATTTATATGCATGACAGATATCGCAATTGGAGATGAAACTCGCAACATTGCTATGCATTTTAGGCCAATAATATTTAAGACATAATCTTTTGAAAGTTTTAAATATACCAAAGTGCCCGCATGTGGGTTCAGAGTGATTAAGTTTTATAGTTTCGTCTCGATCTTCTTTTGGTATTACTTCCTTCCAGTCAAATTCTGCAGTAAGTGAGTTCTTGTTACGCATGTATCTATAAAGTTTACCGTTTTCCAAGCGATAGTTAGGGTAACTGGTAGGTGAAACTTTGCAGCCATTATAAATATTTAAGTACCATGAATCTTGACTTGCAGGCGAATCCTGTGAAGTGGATACCAAGGCGACCGGGACTGATCTTGACAAAAGGTCTGGGACAAGATGTTCTTTGCCCTTGCGATGCTTAATAACAAAGTCGAAAGAAGAGAGACGCACTCCCCATCTTGCCAAACGACCGGTCGGGTTGGAGATGGACAGAAACCATTTAAGGGCCGAGTGGTCTGTAAAAACTGTGAAAGTTCTTCCATTCTCCAAATAACAACGCCAGTGTTCGAGAGCTGTTAGGACAGCGAGTGCCTCTCTCTCAGTCACACTGTAATTTCGTTCAGGGCCAGTAAGAGATTTGCTCATATACGCAACCGGGTGTTCAACCCCGTCTATTGTTTGAGAAAGCATGGCTCCTACACCGAAGTTGCTTGCGTCGGTGTGAACCTCGAATGGATGATTAAAATTAGGACATGCTAGGATAGGGGCTTGTACCAAGAGTGATTTAAGTTTAAGAAATGCTTTATCTGCTTCATCAGACCATTCAAACGGTGGAGAAGTCTTTTTGGTTGAGGTTAACTTATTTAAGGGACCAGCAATAGAACTAAAGTTTGGTATAAATCGTCTATACCAGGAAGCCGTACCTAGAAAACGCTTCACGTCTTTTTTATTTTTGGGGATAGGGTAATTGAGGATAGCCTCAATCTTTTCAGGATCGGTTCGTAAGCCTTTGTCGTCGACCACATAACCAAGGTAACGTAAATGATTGCGGAAGAACTGACACTTACTCAAATTTATTGTTAGGTTTGCATTACTAAGTTTTTGCAGAACACGCGATAGAAGAGATAAGTGTTCCTCAAATGTTCTACTTATAATTATGACGTCATCTACGAAAACAAATACGTTAGATTCAAATTCAGGTCCAAACAAGGAGTCCACAAGGCGTTGCTGAGTAGCTGGGGCATTAGTCAAGCCAAAAGCAGTGACTTTAAACTGAAAGGTTCCTCTTCCTGGTACATAAAAGGCTGTCTTTTCCCGATGCTCCTTTTTTATAGGTATTTGCCAGAAACTTTTTGATAAATCAATACTGGACAAATACCTAGCATCTTTCAGATTGTCGAGAATCTCTGAGACATAAGGAAGGCAGTAGGCATCCTTCTTTGTAACTGAATTCAGTTTCCTACTGTCCAAACAAAAACGGGGCTTGCCGTCCTTTTTAGTAACTACTAATACCGGAGATAACCAAGGACTTTCACAGGGCTCAATGACGTCAAGGGAAAGCATTTCGTCTACTTGTTCAATTACAATCCTTTGCTTTTCAGGTGACATGCGGTAATACCTTTGTCGTATTGGCTCCGCATCACCTGTATCAATACTATGTGTAATTAAACTTGTCCGACCCAAACCTCGTTCCTCGAAAGAAATCTTTTTAAAATCGCTTACCAACTTGTCAGCAACCCTTCTTTCTTCTATATCAAGATTATCATAAGAGTGTAAAAGAAGTTTAGGTTCGCCTGATATTTCATGCAAAGTAGGATCGCTATTGTTAAAATAACTTATATTTTTTAGGTGATCAGGAAAAATTTTGAATTGTTTCCAAAAGTCAATACCGAGGATCAATGCCGAGTCGATTTCAGGGATAACGTGGGTCTTAATTATATTATATTGTCCATCGAATATGATTGGCAAAAGAATGTAGCCACGGGAAGTTAGTACTTGGCCACCAGCTGCGGTGACTGATAAAATATTGTCAGTATGTAAAGTAAAATTATAATTTACTAGCTTCTTGTGAGAGTCATTTCCAAGGATGCTTATAACAGAACCTGAGTCAAGGAGACCGTAAATATCGAGGTCCTTGATATTGTTAATATTTACTTTTATGTATGGTCTAGGGTCTTTACTTGGCTTATTATTATTAAAAATTGGAGCAGTTTTGTATGTAGAAAAGAAGCTGCGTATAAAGATAAGCCAATTTTGCCACTCCAAGCTAGTGGTAAGAGTTGCTTCTTTACTGATCCAATTTTTTTTTAGTTTTTTGAACCAGTTTCTGCAATATTGGGGTTGCAAGTGGGGCATTCTGGTGTTCGAACGTCCTTCTTTCCACACTTGAAACAGAAAATGGCACGTTCAGCCTTGCAGTCCTTCATATCATGGGTGTCGACTCGGCAGCGATGACAATAAGGTTTAGGCTTACCTAAGATACATACTTCATCATTTGATGTTGTATTAGGTTCAGCTATTGAATAAGATTTTGGATTTGGGTTAAAAAAAGTTTTAGAATTTGAGTAATTACTAGTGTAAGTTCTATTCGATTGTTTATAATTGTTAGTGAAATTTGAGTTTTTGTTAATATTTTTATTTGGTGATTGGTAAGCATATTCAGGAGCTAAAGTTCTAGAGTTTACGGCCGGTGGTTCTTTAAAATTATCGGCGCGAATTTTAAATTTTTCAAAGTTACGACATAAATCCCGTAGATCACTAATTGAGTTAATATCAGTGCAATTTGCTAAGGCCATTGAATAGCATGGGCGAATATTGTGGAGAATAATGTCCAATTTTTCGGTTTCTGTCAAGGAAGTTGACAATCTTGAAAACATTCCTTTCATAATAGACAGGTAAACAACGATATTCTCCGATTCGCCCTGTGTACGATTACGTATCTCTGTTATCATTCGATAATCGTAATCTGCAACATCAAAATCTTCTTTTAATAGCACAAGCAATTCCTCCCAAGTTTTTATCGAGTCCCTGATGCCACGATACCAGTGGATAGCATCGCCGGTGAATAAATCAATAGCACAGGACATCATTTTGTCATTAGAAAGACATTTAGAGATGCGAAGCTCTTCTATTCTATCAATGAAAGATCTAACGCAAGATTTGCCGTCATATTTAATTTTCGAAATATCATTAGATATTCCGCGATCGCATGTAACATTGATGCTAAGATTGCCGACCTCAGGTGAAATTTTTGGGTGGTCTATATCATCGGTTTTTTCTTTGGAATTACCAACAGATGAAATGTCTTTAAATTGTGCGTAATAGTTATCGAAGCATTTCATAGCCGCTTCTAGAGACCTCAAGTTTTCAGAAGATGTAGGTTGTTCGACCCTACGCAACCGGTGATATAAATGATTAAGGAGTGAAAGAGTTCGGTCAGCAAGGGCTGGGTCAGCTGCAGAGCGGAGTAGTTCCAAATTTTGCTTAATTTTGCCTAAAGTTTCATTAACGCCTTTGATATCATCTAACGTATCAAGACACGAGTCGGCAATGTCTTCGGATGCATAAATTTGTGTTAGCTTACAGACCTGCCGTCTTAGGTCAAGAACTTTACTTGCAGGTTCTTCACCTCTGATTGTCACTTCATATTGAAGTTCTGATTTTTGTAAATGTAAAAATTTCACTGGATAGGACATTTTTAGTAAAAGTATCGAGGAAGTTGTGCACAAAGTAAATAAAATTAAAAATACAATCAAGGAACCAAACAATAGGCCAAAAGCTTGAGTCCGTTCTGTCACAATAATCAGCTCTTGTTCGAGAACGAAATAAAGTCTTAAATACTGGCTAAAATGGTCTCAAATAAGAGCTACGCCAAAAACATGCACATTACCAACACCAGAGAAACGAGAGAATAAAAAAATCAAGAATGATAAAAGTAACACGGTGAAGAACTAAGACCATCTAGATTGAGGTGGGCGCCATTTGTCACGTTTTAATTAATTAGGGGATAAATAAAACTGACAAAATATGAGGAAAACAAACTAAGTATTTATTAAAGCTATTCTCAGGGTAGGGTCTGGTCTTAGATCCGCAGCCGTGACACTTTACACACTCCTTACTCCCCTCGGGCTTCCAGTTCCAGTTAAGGTTGTGCTTCCGAGTGCGCCTCCAGGTCTTCGCCATCCAAGAACCCGCAGGGTGATCCCAATACGGGAAAATATTTGTTTCACTTCACTTATTATTTATTTTGAAGTGCAAGTATTTTACAAATACAAAATAATGATTTCTATCAGTATCAATCAAGTAAGTAAACTGACACGAAAATATTGTGCGGCGCGCAGAGCGTACGCACATTAGGCCGTATCAAAAGGTTGAGAGCTAATAAGCTATTCTCAGGGTAGGGTCTGGTCTTAGATCCGCAGCCGTGACACTTTACACACTCCTTACTCCCCTCGGGCTTCCAGTTCCAGTTAAGGTTGTGCTTCCGAGTGCGCCTCCAGGTCTTCGCCATCCAAGAACCCGCAGGGTGGTCCTGTCAAATTGTACATACACTAGTTAGTTACTAGTTGCACGAGTAAATCCAGGGGCTGCCACTAGCGCGTTGATTGATTGATGATCATGAATCATGAGATGAGGGAGCAAGCGAAGCCGGGTAACACTACTGCGACTACGGGAGTATAATTCTATTCATTACGTTAATCTGAGTGAAACGGCATTTACAATAATGATTTTGTATAGCAGAAGCGGGGTACAATTTAGCTAGTGGCAATACTACCCTTTTTTTTCTATAATGGACAATATTACAAATAATAACTAGGTAAATTTTCATTATTCTAAGTACATCAATATCTTTGCCTAAATAAAAAGTAATAAAAAGCTTGTAATAAAATGTACGAAGGTAACATACGCATTAATGCATAATTCTATTACTCCTAATAAATAATAATTACTCATTTTTATCATTACATAAACTTTGTATGAGACTAACATGCATTATTAAAACTCCAAGACACGTATTAACTAGATTATGTTAAATTAATTTACTGTTACCTTCGTACGCAGACTATCATTAATGTTCTTAAATCTAAATACATAAGCTAGAAAAATGCACAACTTACCCAATACGGGAAAATATTTGTTTCACTTCACTTATTATTTATTTTGAAGTGCAAGTATTTTACAAATACAAAATAATGATTTCAATCAGTATCAAGTAAGTAAACTGACACGAAAATATTGTGCGGCGCGCAGAGCGTACGCACATTAGGCCGTATCAAAAGGTTGAGAGCTAATGGTCGCCGTTCGCGTTCTATTGAATCTTCGGCTCGCGCCTAGACATGGCCGCCCGGCGCTCGCGCTTGGACCGGTTACCCGCGCGCAGAAAATATTAATCACTACATAGAAACCGAACTGCGTTGTCAGTTTGTTTATTTAGTTAGTGTTAAGTTTTTATTCATTTTTATTTATATTTATAGTTTTAAGTTTTTATTTATAAAGCATTTGTATTTAATAATAGTAGGTTAGGGTTCATTATAATAATTGTGTAGTATAATATGTAAATAATAAATAAGTTAAGTTTATGTGGATCGTATACGTTACAATGGGTCACTTAAAAATTAGGGATTGATGGTGAAAAAGGGCATTAGTCGCCTTTCACACTTGCGACATTCTGGGGGAGAGTAGGGGTGGTCCTATTCTACTCTGCAATAAGGGCGAATATGCAATAAAAATGTAAATCCTACCTATTTGATAGAGCTTGAATTTTTTTATAAAAGGCCATTTTAATTTTATCCAACGTTTATTGATTGGACGCCTATTAATATAGGCCGTCAAGCTATTCTGAATACTATTTATCCAATTAATAAAAGATGTACTATCGGCAATAGTGTTAACTATCCATTTCCGTTTTTGCTCTCGCTCTCATCAAATGTTGATTCTTTGCGATAGAACGAGACGACATGACCGGCAATACTGTTGCCGATAGTATCACCTGTACCACTCATTACTGAATACTGCAAGAACCTACTCAGTTCTACCGTTAATGCATACCGTAGTAGCAGTAGTAGTAGTGTTGCTTTACCGTTTACCCTTCCCCAGATTTCGGCTTCATGTTCGAATCCTCACCCGGTGGTAACCTGGGCTTCGAACCTGACATCAAGCTGACGGACGAGATGGTGATGGTGATGGGCGGCAAGATGGAGGCGCCGCCATTCCGCTGGTTCTGCGAATTATGCGTGCAAGCGTTCCTCGCTGTCAGGTAATACAAGCCTTTGCTATCCAGATAATATTCGTTTGAGTTCTAGTCACTTGTATGTAAAGCCCGGTCTGTAAGCATCTTAAATAGAATTTTGTCCAAAGACCCCAAGCTACCCATCCTTATCGCTCGCGCGTAATTATATTGCTGTCGCGACTGTGCGACGGGCGCCCGCAGTGAGTGTACGAGCGCGACAGCAACATAATTACGCGCGAGCGCAAAGGATGGGTAGCTTGGGGTCATTGGACAAATTCTACGTGCTCACAGACCAGACTATACACTAAATACCTGCCCCGAAGTAATGAAGTAATCAGGTAGGCGATTCAGAAGTTTCCTCAACTAGTCGTTATTTTCCGAACCGTGCTATGACTAAGTTATGGTAACGTTCTGAATCGCTCACTTCGGTTAACTTTAAGATTAAACCTGATATCAAGGCGATGAAACCATAGGTTGCAGATAACTCTTTAAACATCAATTCCCACCATGGTAGGTTGAAGTCCTTGGGCCTGTCTCGGGGACAGATCCCGTGATTGGTTTCTATAAATATAAACATTCAACCAAACAAAAGACGCTTGAGATATAATGGAGTTTCTTTTTCGTTCTGTAATATGGACTTCAGATTCACTGTATCCAGTGCAATCGCATTTTATGTGACGAGGTTATTTTATGTGTACTATTTACTATTTTCACAGGCCGTACCAAGAAGCGATCATCTCCATGGTATCCCTTATGCTCGACACGGGCCTACCCTGCTTCCGAGGGCAGACCATCCGTTACCTACGCGCGCGCTTCGCCCCCAACTCTACAGAGAAAGAGGCAGCTGCTTTTATGCTGTCCATCATCAGGAGTTCCTTCCTCAACTTCAGGACCCGGACGTATGATATGATACAGTATTACCAGAACCAGATACCATATTAATTGGTCACTCAAGATTATGGGCGAAGTTAATTTTATAATATGACAATCTTGTAAATGAGGCGCTAAAAAAATGAGGCACGTAAAAAGTTCTTCAGAAGATGGTAATAACTAATATTATAATGGTAATCTTCTGAATCAGGTGGGTAGTTAATGCTATAGCCAAAAAGGAAGATACTGTCTGGATAATGGGATATAAGAGAAGAAAGTTACATTTTTCACTTTTTCAAGAAATTATTTGATCACTTTTCCTTGTTTCTGAACCTCATCTATTGCTATTGTCTTGGGTTTACGTGCAATATCTATTTTTTAACTTGCTCAGTGAACTCAATTTTTATTAAAAATTGGTTACGATATCCAGTTGACCTTATAGGTTTTCAAGATTGTCGTCGTATTAAAAACGAAGATCTTCATGCCATTTAGAAGCTCCATGTCGGTTTGAGTCGAATTGAGAAAGTGATTTCATCACAATGTATGCGTAATTTATTTATCATGAATTTTCAAATATAGTTCAAAATTCAATATCAATCATCTCGTAAAAAATAATACAAACTCCTGTAACTGTTTTATTATTATTTATCGGTATTGCTCTTGAAAACTAACTCAACTAAAAAATATAAATATATTGTGTGATTTCTTTGGACTTTTTTCCGTCAATACTTTGGTTTTTGGCTATTTCTTTACTTCTGTTAAGCTGTAAGGGATAGTAATCGTGATACTATTATATGGTTAATATTTATTATTCTGGTTTCGGATGAACAATATTTTAGAATGTAAGTCATTTGATCGAATATTTCAAATTTATATCCATTAATCATTCTTAAATTATTATAGGACTGTTGTTGCCCCTGTACTTAGATATTTATCTAAATGTATTATATCACTATTTATATGTATGTATATGGTTCAATTAGTCTTTGTAGTAAACTCTTTATGATGTTGTAAAAGGGCTCTTTTAGATTGGCGTATTTTACGTATACGTATTTACAATTGTGCTACATTACATTTCGTGTAAGGACTTAAAAGAAGTTATTAGCACTTACTAAAAAGTTAAAAACCCTTATAATGCCAATCTGAATGAGCACTATTTGTGTACCCTCTCCCAAAGAATTTGCTGTATTTATCAATGTTTGTAATTTTCAATAGGTAATGCCAACATGCTCTTTCAATATTGTGAAGAAACATATTTATTTTATGGTATTCAGCAAAATATTACTTGCAGAGTACTTTTCTGTTGTTTATATTCAGAAAATGTATAATAGAGAAAAGATGTCTTCAGATCTATACACATTTTATTGTATTTACCTATCTACTGTATTAAATATGTATCACATGGCTGTTTTATACTTCAATCCATAAAAATAACTAGTATTTTGTAACTAAAACTCGTGTTTTTTAGGATCTGTGTTGTTGAATTATGTTGGAAGAGATATTATATTATTAAAGATGTGTAGGAAATTTTAATATTAATGTTATTAATTTTGACATTCCTGTGATTATGATCATTACCTTGTTGTTGATGAATAAAGTATTTGGTAGAGGTATTATTTAGGACTTTTATTTTTAACAATTTCTAAAGTCTAGTCGCCGAGCACGTAGAATTTCGTCCAATGATCCCAAGCTACCCATCCTTATCGCTCGCGCGTAATTATATTGCTGTCGCGCTCGCACACTCACTGCGACCGCCCGTCGCACAGTCGCGATAAGGATGGGTAGCTTGGGATCATTGGACGAAATTCTACGTGCTCGGCGACGAGACTTTATCATATGTGCCGAAGTCAGTTGAACAAATTAACCAAGTTTTTGTCTGTAAATATTAAAAAAAGATACAACTATTTAATTTATAAAGTTATGCTTTTATTCAGTTTCTTGACCATAACTTTCAATAAACGATAAATAGAACTCAATTTTCTTTATACATTTCTTAACTTTGCTTATGTCTAAGTTTGGCAAATGCTCTCTAGTGTGTTCGGGGAATTTTCTGGAAAAATTACTTTTGTTGTTGGCACTTTTATTCTGTTTTCCAGAAGTTTTCGCTTCACTGAATATTCTGTGTAAATGAGAAAGAGCTGCTTTGCAGTAGAAAGATTTTTTATCTTTACTCGGTCCTTTTAGTATTTGGAACACATCATCCTTCATGACTTCAAGACTGGCTTCATCTGTTTCAATTAGTTCACTCTGTAAATAGAGAAAAATCAAATTAAATTCTGAACTTACAAAGAGACAGTAGTAGTCTTGAATATACCAAACCTAGTAAAAATACTATGTGACAGTATGATACAGTCAGTAGGTATACCAAATATTCTCGTGATCTTGTTTAAGACCATAAAACTATTAAGAACTTTGAATTAAACCAATTAAAACAGTTTCCCAATTACTTTAAAAATTCGCGCTACATTTCAGGCTCACTGGTTCTTAAGTGTTAAGAAAAGATTTGACTACTATAAATACTACATTATATTCTGTGATACTACTTATCCAGCACTATAAAATATAATCTTTAAATGAATTACCAGTAAACATTTTTGCGCTACAGCTTCCACAGCTATTGCTGGATCTTCAAAGTTGGTATTGCTATCCAGGTTCCCACAAATACTCAAAACGTAAGTGGTCCCTTCAATTGGGTCTATTTCACCATTGAAATATCTGGTTGTGAATGCATAAGCTGCTAAAACNGTATAGGCTCCTTAAGAGCATTTGACGATTTGCAAGAACTAATTTAATTAGTCTAAACAAATAAAGATAATTTTTTGATTTTGATTTTGAAGGAAGATAGGAGGCAATAATACTGTCACCTTCCCTGGAGCGAATTCAAATGCACCCGCACTTAGTTTTAGACAAGGCACCTTGTCTTCTCAGATAGACGTGATTCATTACCACCCAGGTTTTGTTATCGTCCACATAGCTTTGACTATGCCATCCCGCAAGAATATGGTGTGCCTTATGCTCCTAGCCACCACAATACAGATAGAGCTCGAAGGATCCGTGCCCCGTCATGGAGCGATCGTTCGAGCAACCTTAAACTTCTGCACGAGTGCGAATAAGGTTAAGTGACCCAACTTAGCTATGGCGAGGTAGTTTATCAACTACTAGACTACAGCACAGTCTAGCGAGTCTCACGTCAAACGGCCTCTCTGTCCTCCTAAGGCGGAGCTTTCACCTCGTTCTTCACGCTTCGTTAAAGCCAACGATGTAGCCCTGTAGACTTTCTGGGCCTATTAAGGTCTTAGAAGATGGGCAGCGTTACCCTTGCCTACGAGGGTGATGCCTTAGATGGGAGTCCTGTACAGAATTATGCTTTTGAGGGTGCCAGTATAGAGCTCCCGGCCTTTCTTTATAGCCTTCCGACATAGAGTTTTCGGACCTCTAAATTAGGGAAGCAGCCACGAAAAAGCAAGCTGTCTTCCATACGCACGGCGACGAATTGGTAAAAGTGCGAGCTGCCACTGGTTATATATAATTAAGGTCACCGTATTTGCACTCACTACTTGGTGCCACTGGTGATTAACAGGACCTTACTCTTAGATATTTGATCTGGCCCTTAGCTTTGACAGTGATGTGGGCGTCAGGTGAAGGTGTCAGGGATGCTTTTAAATATAATATGTGGTCCCATAATTCACAAATGTCATTTGGATCATTATACATTATGTCATTGTTATTAATTATGTCAATATTATTATTTGCTATGTCATTATTACAATTATTACCTATAATACGCCACGTCGCTTTACATGTATTCGGAGCATTCTGTATAACTCTCTGGTTTTCCAGTTGTTGGGCTTTTTTAATACATTTTTTTAGTATTCTGTTATATTTTTTGTAGTTATATTTCTTACTAGTTCTATGAGTTTTATCACTTCTACTGTACTGAATATATAAAAGTCTTTTCGTTCTGCATGCCAATTTGATTCCCTTACTTAGCCACTTCTGATACCTAAATCTATTTCGAATTTTCACAAAGATGTTTGGAAAGCAAAGCAAGTTAAAGAGCTCAAACAAAGTGTGCAATTCATTAAAAGCTTCATTAGCATTACAATTATTATAAACTTCTGAAAATGATAAGGCAGAAATACATGTCTTAAACTTGATTATGTTTTCTCTGCTATAGTCAATTTTTTGTATAGTTATGTCTTTAGATATTAAGTTTAGCCTAAACGACACAGTTTGAGCCGTTTCGTGATCTGATAGTCCAAGCAGATGAATATCAGATGTGGCTTTACAAACATTGCTAGCTATTTGATCTAAACATGCTTTCTTGCGAGTTGCAGAATTAATGTGTAATTTCAGTCCAAAATTTCTTAAAATGCCTGTCAGTTCTTTAGTCATGTTATTACATTTCAATACATCGATATTCCAGTCACCTGTCAAAAAGATTTTATGCTTAGTTTTATTTTTGCTCAAATGCTGTAAAAGTTCTTGAGTTTTTAAAAAGAACAATTGCGCATCAGAGTCAGGAGTTCTATAAATATTTGTCGCAGACGGTCATGAGTACGGACACTAAAGTGAAACGCAAGTGCGTCACCTAGCGGCGAATCGGCGCAACACCGCTTTGGCGCGCTTCGACAGAGTCGTAACGGTCACGGCGGGACGGATCGAACTCACTTTCGCTCCGGACGCCGACAAGATCACGGAACTGTCCCACGTTTCACCTAGTGCCTATTTTATCGCTCAACGAAGTCTAGATTGTAGTACTAAGAACTAAGTGCTGATTTTGAACTCTGTCTGAAGATTATTAAAAGTGTTTGAACACAAGTCTCATTCTCATTGCACGATACCCTATTTCGCCCACAATATCTGAGGTTCGAATCCCTGACGAGCCGACATCAGAATTGGGATCGAATCGTGCAATTGAGATCACTTTCAACGATATTGGAACCAACACGCTAATGAAGAGGCCAACATTTGCGACCAACAAAATAAGAACATACCTACTACTGCCGGCAAGCTCCTTTGGCATCCAGGTACCGCTCGCTCGCTGGTCGTTCACTGGGCCTCGACCAATGTCGTCTCACCCGGTGGGCTAGTACCGCGCTGAGGGCGGAACAGTGGTGTCAAAGTCGAGCTGAGGGTATGCCCGGAATATAACTGGCCAGAAGAATGAAGAATCAGGATAGATGACGCGGGGCGATGGTCAAGCTTACAGCGTTGAACCGGCGCGGGACGGCGGTCAAGCTCACAGCGTTGGACCGGCGCAGGACGGCGGTCAAGCTCACAGCATTGGACTGGCGCGGAGTGGTGGTCAAGCTCACAGCAATGGACGGCGGCGGCGGTCAAGTGGAGAACATTGGTCCGGCGCGGCGCGGAACGAGGTTTCCCGCGAGTACTTTGGATCACAAGGGTGAGCGATATTGTTTTTCATTTGATTCTTTTGCTGAATACTTGTTGTTGTTGGTTAAGAGCGTTGTCACATTTTTCATGCAGAAATCGAGAATTTGGCAGATTTCGAAATGATTTTAGTCATATAATTTATTGTTATAGCTTCTTTTGACTTATATCATCGTAAATATCATACGTTTTTGCGGAATGTCTATTGACAAAATCTCGTTCAAATTGGATTTTTGCCTACGATAACAGCGAATTTCGAAAGCCCGATTTCCAGGTAACTCGCGAAGGCACAACTTTGAACTAATATTACAACAAATTTATTTCTAAGTAAGAAGATAGAATGTATTCATTAGAATAAGCATACCCTGAAGAAGAAAGTGTATTGAGAAAATTTTGATGTTTAATTCATTAAAATGCATTTTTATCATGTCTAAGATAGTCAAAATTCGAGAAAATTACTGCAAGAAAACAGGTCACATCTCATAATCTAAAAGTCATTTGGCAACATAAACTACTTTATACTTAAGAAGAAACATAGTACTATTATTGTGTGAAAAAGAAAAAATATCTATCTTCAATCTTCAAATGAAAAATTAATTTGAAAATACTATAAAATCGGGTGCATCAAATGGCATAAATCAGTCGTGCTTTGGCACTCGTAGACGCCGGGTCTATGTCAGTTGACTGCCCACTGACGTATATGCGTCACGCGTGATTTTTTCGTAAATTGTAGTATGATTGAGTACTTTTGATCCGCAAGTATTTTTAATTTATTTGTTTAGGTAAATCGGACTTGTAATTTCTTTCTTTTCAAACTTTTTATTATTTTACTTACAGAATATGGGTAGAATAGACAAAAGATATTATTATGGTATCTGTTTGGTCAGGAAAAAATAAATGACTAATAAATGACTTTAACAGGGTGTCAAAACATTAGTCTATGCTATTGAGTTTCTACCAACATAAAATATACTCTTCCTTACTAATAAAAGTTGAATAGCGTCTGTATGGTCACACAACGCTTCGTCATGTTTTTCCGAAAGTCCAATTGCTGACGACTGAATGAAAGAAATTGGTGCGTAACTATTCATCTGATATTAAACGTTTAGTATTAAAGGAGTAGGTCAGGTAGATGGCAAATCCACCAGCGGTCACTTAGTTAGGTATTTGTAATGAATATATAAAATGAGTTTATTTTTAAAAGTATAGGTACAGGGTGGAAACGATAAGTGATTTCACTTGATTCTAAATTAATCTCAAGATATCGGAAAACTGTTTACTGTTCCTGTAAGTGCTTCACGAGCTCTTTAAAACAATAACAATAAATAGGTTAAAGAATAAACTGGATCTATGCGAAAATTCAATGTTTCCGAATTTCATACTAAATGTATGCCGCCAGCCATACCTACCATATTAGAAGTGTTAATTTTTTTAATTTAAATTTTTAATTGAATAATAGAATCAGACAACAAACTCGTGAATTGCATTCTTATTTAAATTATTTACGTAAAACATGATTTTAGATTTTACTTGCCATAATATCATCAAGAGATACTAATTAATAAATACTAAATAAACAGGTAAAGGGGACGGCACGGCACTCAGAATTCTCAGAAACCATTGATTTCGTGTTTGTTTGTAACTGTAATAAATGTATGAAAGCTGGAAATATAGATTTTTTGAATAGATTCAGTTCGTTCTTAAACATAATATTATTGATGCCGTTTGCTAGGTCTCATGAAGCACTTTTTCAGTAAGTAACCGACATCTTGTATACCTACTATAAGAAATATTCGAGTGAGATCACTAATCGATTATTTTCGTCATCCTTATTTGTATTAAATTTAATTAAAATACACTAAGGCTGAGATGCACCACCTAACTTTGAACTTAACTGACAATAACCGGTGTTTTATGTAAGACAGATTTTTGACATCAAAAATTTTGATGTCAATGTAAATGCAACACGGCCTTACAAATGTATCGTAGACAGTACCTTTTATTTTCTTCATAAATCTTTCTTTTCTTCATAAAGCTATCTACAAGCTTTTATTTTCTTTGACATCTGGAGTCGTAAAATCTTGCAACTTAAAATTTACTTATGTACTTCCCGTTTTCCCATTAAGCTGAAATTTTGTATGTCTACACAGGCATGCAAAATTTCGTTTCGTTTCGCACTAAATAATTTAATTTACACGTGTTTACATGCGATGGCCAAGTCAATTTATATTTATGTAAAACGTTAAAGATTTCCTGGACTGGACTTAGTATTACATGGACCGCACAACTTTTTACCGTAGAACAACTGAGTAGCGAGACTTGGTTTTTTGACAAGTATTGTTTTTGTTGGGTTTGTATTACAGAACGTATGTGTCTAATGGGATAACTATTTAAAAACACGATTACATAAATTTTGCTCTAAGATATGGATAAAAATCTTAAAGTTACCTCTGATTTTTTTATAAAAGCATTATACGACCGTGTTTTATAATAATAAATTCTATAAAATCACAATGATATCAGTATTTACCTCTTTGATTTCCTGACTTGTTTAGACTTACAAAAACCAAATATTTATTACTAGTTGACCCTGCGAACTCTGTTCCGCCTTAAAGGCAATTAATAAGCCATCGCAATTTTTCCTTATTTGCTCACCGACCGTTTAGACCTACCCTGGACTACGACAAACATTTTAAAATCAAAACCAGCTCAATTGGCCCAGCCGTTCTCGAGTTTTAATCAGACTAACGAACAGCAATTCATTTTTATTTATAAATTATTTTAATACAGTGTGAGTCACGTTAAAGTGTACATATAAAAATAGATGAAACTAGACCTATTTTTATCGACAAAAAAGAGGTCAAAAAATTTTTGAGATTTTTTTTTAATTTTTTATAGAATTTTTTTTCTTCAAATTACTTATTGTAAAGAAAACGTAATAACTTTTAAACTAAGCGGTATATCTTGATAAAATAAAAACAGTAATAATGCTAAATAACAGGCAATACTAAAAAATACATAAAATACACAAAAAAGGTCAACAAATAATAAAAAATGATACTTTTTGAAAAAAATCTGCTTAAAAATTCGTGTTTTTTTGGTTATTTTATAAATTTCTCCAAAAAATGCCCCTATAACCGGTGGTTTTTATTACTTTGTATTATTTTCTATCGTATTATCTTTGTAAAACCAAAAATCGCATGTCTCTCGCTATAAGTGCTAACTTTGAGATTCCGGACAAAGAACTCCCGCCTACACGGCGACAGTTGGAACTAGAGCAGCTAGAAGTATACAGCTTTCCCGTACACACACTCACCGTCAGCAGACGGTGGTGGTGGCCTATGCAATGCCTCCCGTGCTGCCTCACGACCCCGTTACGCTGGCCATTACTAAGGAAGTAAAGAAATTTATTCAAAACTGCCACGCGGTCTCGTGCTAGATGGGCGTCTTAAAGGCCACCTTCTATCAACGGGAGCGCGTGGTAAGTAACTTGCTTCTGAATGTATNCATACCATAGCCTGTCATAATCATAACCCTCCTTTGGCTTTGCCGTAGTCGGGTAATGAGGTTTGACTAGTCAAACCCCGATTTCAATTAATTGAGTTTCGACCTTTGCCTGACCAAATTAGTTACTCCTAGGTTTGACTAACATTCTTTAGTCAATGGCCGAAATGTTTGGGCTTTGACTAAGACTTCTAGCCAGACCTGAGGATTGACTAGTCAAACCTAGGAGTGCCAGAACTTTGAGGTTTGACTATAACATAGATAAGTAGGACGCTATATCGGACACTTATGCTATTAAAATGACCCCTGAAAGAAGTAGGTACTTAGGCTCTCCAAAAAACAAACAGCTTGATAAGTTTTCGTTTTTGGTAGGTTTCGTTCGTTCGTTTCAGCCAAATGACGTCCACTGCTGGACAAAAGCCGGGAGGATTCCACCACGACTGGTCCTGCGCTGCCCGCATCCAGGTACTTCCCGAGATCGTCGGTCCACCTAGTGG